TTTTTTCCTGATGGGCCTAATGAGTGTCTCCTCGTGTATCTCAATCAATGTGTTTCTCTTTCCAGGTTTCAGAGCTATACTGAAAAACGGACACAGCATCACACCATTTGGGAGGAGAGGACTCCTGAGTCATAAGGGGTTGCCCTTACACATTTTTGTTCCTGCCTTACGAGCCAATGTCAAATGAGGGAGACAGAACCATCAACTACAGAAACACTGGTATCTTCCATGCCCTGGAGTAGAGGCAGGTCAGTTTTCTTTCCTCTTTCTTCTTAGTCACCGGGACCCGAAGGAATTACTTCATTGCACAAGTGATACCGCTGCTCAGAATGACATAATAAACTCTCCTAGCTGTGTCAGGGATCCCCTTGGCAACAAGACCTCACGTTAAGAGCAATCCTTAAAACTGAGTCACTGTAGCATGAGATATTACCGTCATTTATTTATTTGGAGTCCAAACTGCCTAAGCAAGGTACGGGTAGCCTTTTTCAAAGAAACAACTGTGATGAAACATTCATTCACTAGCAATACAAGATTTATGTACAAGCTAGGAGATAATAATAATAATAATAATTGCATGGCGTCAAGCCAATTCTGACATAAGGTGACACTTTTCAGGTTTTTCTTGATTGTGGATACTCAGAAGTGGTTTACCATTTCCTTCTTCTAGAGTATCCTGGAACTGTCCAGCTTGCCCGAGACCTACTGCCTTTACAAAAGACCTGCTCCTTGTGGTCTGCTAGAAGTGATTTGCGGTAAGAATCCACATAGCTACTTGCATGTTTGGAATCTCCTTGGGAACATGCCCAGGGAGACCGGCATGGATAGTCCCTGAATGTTAAAACTAGCAACTTTACTATTATGGCAATCCCATCGTTCTTCCTTAGATTTCCCCCCAAGATGTTACCATAGGAACAGGTTCCACACCCTTAAGAAGCTATTTTGACATTATAGAGGAAGTTCCTCTAATGACAAAGGAGAGAAATGGGGGACAGGGAAGGAAAAGCCAGTGCACCATGGCAACAAAGGGTGAAGGCAAAAGCCAGCCTATAAAGGGGGGGAGGAGGAGGAGGAGGAGGAGGAGGAGGAGGGCTTAGAGCAGGGATGGCCAATGGCCATAGTGGCTGGCTGGGTGGAAGGCAGAGCAGCCAGTGTTCAGCCAGGGGGACAGCCAGACCAAAGAGTAAAAGTGGGTATTCACACACATGCACGCACAGGCAGGCAAGTGATCAAACATTTATGTGTGCGCACAGATGAAAAAGACACACAGACATGGATGGAGGCATGAGCATGCACACACACAGAGCCTAGCAGGCATTCACTATGCTGGCACCATCTCACACCCAGCCCATTCTTTCATTCTGCAAACCAGTGGAGAAGCAGAAAAATACAACTTGCACTCAAATTAGACATCATCCTTTCTGCTGCCGCTGCTTTGTTCCTTTCCTACCTTTCTGGCTCACGCATGCTCACACAAAGGAGGCAGACATTCTCGCAGATGCTGCCCACTCAGTCACTCTATACTCTGGAGAGAAGCAGAAAAATATTCCTCACCTACAATTTAAATGTGCTTCCCTTTTCCTCCAGTCCACAACCATGGAGGGTATAGCTAAGAGCACAGCAAACACGGGATGCAGGCTCGTAACATTGTACAGGAGGGATTCCATAGCCATGGAGGATGTGGCTAAGAGCACAGCAAACACTGGATGCAGGCTCCTAACATTGTACAGGAGGCAGCAAAAGATGTCAAGAAGAGGTGCCAAGAATACACAGAGGAATTATATCAGGAAGATTTGGATATCCCGTACAACCCAGACAATGTAGTTGCTGACCTTGAGCCAGACATCCTGGAGAGCGAAGTCAAGTGGGCCTTAGAAAGCCTGGCTAACAACAAGGCCAGTGGAGGTGATGGCATTCCAGCTGAACTATTTAAAATCTTAAAAGATGATGCTGTTAAGGTGCTACATTCAATATGCCAGCAAGTTTGGAAAACCCAACAGTGGCCAGAGGATTGGAAAAGATCAGTCTACATCCCAATGCCAAAGAAAGGCAGTG